CCTGCAGCCCCCACAGCGCGCCCTCCAGCCGCTGCACCGCGCCCGCCAGCGCCAGCAGCGCGTCCGACTGGTTCTGCAGCACGTCCTGCGCCTTCCACACTTGCTCCGCCAGGTCCGCCTGCAGCGGAGCCTGCAGCAGCCGCAGCTGCAAGTCCCGGAGGCTCTCGTTCAGCCGGTTCACGTTCCGAGTCAGGGCCTTCAGGTCGTCGGGGGCGCTCCGGGGCCTGGACACTGCGGGGAGAAGGGAGGGGGAGATGAGCGCCAGGCCAGCGGAGGGCAGAGGTGGCCGCGGCCGGGTGCTTTGCTAGACCGCGGGCTCTGGGCTCCGCCCGAGGTCCCCAAGCCGCGCCGGCCCCTGGACTCCCCCGGGCGGGTCCGCCTGGGTGGGTCCCCCTGCAGAAACCGTGGTTGGCCCAGGCTTTGGCTTTTTTCGGAGTCCCAGATCCTTCCGGGTACAGACCAGCCTGGCCACCCTGCACCCCCCCAGCCGGGATGTGTGAGGGTAACGCGCCTGACACCCCGGTGGTTGCCTGTGGAACGTGCAGGCTGTCTGGCAGCTTCGCGTGGCCCTCACCGGATCCTCTGAACTTTAGGAGGCCGCCTCCACCGTGCTCCCCTCCAGCGGAAGCAGTGGGCCGCTGCCGTTTGTGAATTCTCATTTTAAAGTTGTGAGTGGCAACGGGAACAGCAACTGCTCACTGTCAGCCCAGCGCCGCGTCCAGGCTGCTCAGCCCCGGCGCGCGGAGGTGACCACGGCGGTCACGCCTGGCCGTCAGCGCCTCTCTCAGAACCACCAGCTCTCAGGCCTCTTCTCTGGCTCTCAGAAAGCGAAGCTTGCCCTGATGGGGAAGGCTGGAAACCACCCTGCCCGGGGAGTTCTGTGGGTCTGTTACGGTGGTTCACTGCACAGCGGCATCAGCTAAGTCCAGAGGAGACGAGGTCTCAGTCCCCGGCGTCCAGCGGCTCTAGCTTACTGGCTCTCTGTCCTCCACACACAGGCACATCCCGGTTTTACAATGCGCATCCTGGGGTTATTTTTTTAACCTAGTCATAGTAGTTGTTATTATTCATGTTTATGCAGACAGCTCACTTAATCTCCCTGCCTGATGTATCTACTTTTAATGTGCTTTAATTATTCCACATAGTAATAATTATGTTAGTTTAATTTTATAAGCCTCTTCCCATCTTTCTCTCTGGTTTTATGATTAGAATGCATTATAACTGATCCACCCTCCTACTGCTGAATATTTTTTATCAACCATGGTAAATAAATGCAGAAACTTTGCGAATTTTCTTAATACTAAATCCCCAATGATTGGATTTCTAGGTGAAAAGATGTAGATATATATATATATATTTTAAGATTTATGCTTACAGAGCTGGGGTACAGGCCAGAGGTGCAGGGGGTGAGAGGCTTCACCAAGACAGAGTGGGGAGCAGTCGTCAGGCCGACTGACGAAGTACACTACTGAGGGGGGAAGCAGGCGGCCAGGAGAGGTCTGCCGCGCCCTGTGGGTCACCTCCGGGGCGGGGATCGAACTTGCAGTGAAGCGGCTGCAGGCAGCTTGCAGTGCTGCGTCCTAACCTGTTGAGCTATCGGGGGGGGGGGCGATAATTTTTATGATTCTTGCAAAGTCCCGTCAAATCATTTAAAAAAAAAAAGTGATACTGATTGACAGCTACATTGCAGATTTGACATCTAGTGTTTCTGTGTGACCTTAGCCACTGAACATTACTAAGGTTATGTTGTTAAATTTCACAGATATGAAACAGACCCTTGTTACTGGTTTTTATGTCAGTATACTTGCATCACCTCAGGAAACTTTTCAGGCAAGGTATTGCCTCAGGACTAAAACAGACATTTCAGCTGCCGCGTTGACGAGATGTTTCGAGGGTGAATACTCAGGGCATCCAGTTGCGCTGTAGCCTGGTGCAGCCTCCCTTTCTCGGGGTCACTTGCCCACCCCAGAGATGAATGACCTCCTTTCAGCAGTCACAGTGTGTTCTCCGCTCTCACACCACCGCCACCACCCTCTCCCTCATGTAACTCCTTCCAGATGTTTGCTGTCCTTAGCAGGGAACAATTCTTCCTTGAGTGTGACTCTCTTAATTCATGTTTATGCAAGTGGCTCATTTATCTCTCTGCCTGGCGTGTCTACTTTTAATGTGCTTGAGTTATTCTTCAACTTTTGTGCTTTCACAAAGAGAAATCAATCATAGAGTGACAGCCAGCACTGGCCTTTCCCTGGTGTTACTGTGTGCCAGGCAAGCTGTGTGCCAAGAGGACAGCCCAGGAAACCACGCCCAGTCCCCCAGAGGCTGCACAGGTCACTCCCCCTCCCCCCCTCAAAGGCCAGTCAACTTAGAGATGGATGGAAGCATGGCCCAGCTGCCCCCACCAGGGACCTCTGGTCACCTACGTTTACTCCTGTGGAAAACATAAGGGCCTGTAAGTGAAAAGGTTGCCCCGGGACCAGGATCAAGTGGGTGTTCTTCCTAGAACGCCTCGCCTCTCCTTCCTTGACTCCTTGTCTCAACCATCCTTCCAGCCACACCTCTTCCAGGAAGCCCTCCGGAGCCTTCTGTACTCCCAGTTGTATCAAGAGTTCGCTTCTGCCTCCTCTAGGCTAACAGTCACCATCCGACACAAGGTCAAGAGCTAGTGATAGCTGCTGGCCTGTCCCATCACCCCAAGATCCCGGGGAGGCAGGGTTCCTTATCCTCTGTAGACAGTGGGTGCCTGTTCAAAGGACTGAGCGTACAAAGTGCTGGGAGAATTGAAAGCAAAAGCACCATTTCTTTCAGTGTAACTTAGAATTGGGGTATCACGGTGGGTTCAGCAGTGCCCCTCCCCCATGATTCACGTCCCTGTGGGGCCTCCGAATGTGACCTCATTATGAGTCATGCCTCTGCAGCTGGGATTAGCGAGGATGACGTCACTCACCAGGGTGCCTGCAGTTCTTATAAAGGGGGGACCCAGGACACCGGTGGAGAGGGCGAGCTGCCCCTGCCTCCCAGGATCCGCCTCGCAGGAACCACCAGCCCTGACTGACATCTGTAAAACCTCAGGCCACGCCAAGCAGCACCCCCTCCCTCAGCACACGCCAGCTCTCTCCCCAGCCCCCCAACTCTGGCTCTTTGCGTCTTCACCTCTGTGCTCCCCACGGACACCCACGCGTGTGGATTTCAGGCACCGTTTGTGCGTCGTGCAGGGTCACCCGGTAGGTGGTGTGTGGGTTGTGCGTGGAGCTTGCGGGGGCCCAGGGGCGAGACAGCGGTCACGTCCCGAGGGAGAAAACCACACAGGACAGGATCCGCTTCGAAGCTCCTCTCCCATGTTTCCAAATGTCCTCTGGGAGAGCCCCCGGCCCAGGGCTGTCGGGAGCAGCTGCTGGGCGCGTCCCAGTGAGCCCTCTTCGGCTGTGGGCGCGGCAGTCTCTGGTTCTGGGGGTTGGTGTCGGTGGTGGGGAGCAGGACAGGGCGGGGCTGGCGGCCGAGCAGTTGATGCAGAGGGCCGTGCTGGGGCCCCACCGAGAAGGGGGGTGGGCAAGGGGCGGCTCCGGGAGCTGGAGGGGGAGAGGGAAACGGCTTGAGTACTGAGCGCGGGCCCAGCCCCGTGGAGTCCAAACTGTGGGCGACCTACCCCGAAGCCACCTGCGGGGCCACCCTGTAGCTGACGGGGTCGCACTCACAGGGCCCCGTGGGGCCAGTGGTGGCAGGGTCACCGCTAAGCGGCGCCAAGCGGCGGTGCAGGTCTCGCCTGGGCAGGACTCCACGCTGGGTGGCGGCTGCGCTGAGCCCGTCTGCCCCTCGACACCCCGAGCGCAGGCTGCCCGCTCCCCCGCCCCGCCCCTGTCAAGATGGGAGTTGGGGGCCCGCTCCAGCAGACCCCCTCTTGTCTTCACGGTGGGAAGACACCCAGACATGCCCAGGGTGGTGGGGGCGGTGTCACACGGCAACGTCATCGGCAGGTGTGGGGAGAAAGGCGCCTCTGCTTGGGGTCCGCAGCTGCACCTGGACTCCCAAGTTCTGGGGGCGCCTGGGCAGGCAAGCCCCCGACACGCAGGTGTCGTGCCGTTGGGTCTCAGTTTTGGTCTGCTTCCTTTCTTATTGTTTGGTGCTTAAGCCATTCTCCTGGATGTGTTTCTTAAAGCACAGCGCGCGGTGTGAGTCCTGTGGCAGCGTCTCATGCCCGGGGGCCAAGGCCCGGCCCTCACGCGGCTTCCCGTGTGTGCCTGCGTCCTCGTCTCCTCTGTGGGGCGCAAGTCCTGGTGGACGGGCGCAGCCAGTGACCTCGCTGTGCTGTGAAGGCCTCGCCCACAAGGACAGTCACGGTCTGAGGTCCTAGGCTTCGGCCTGGCAGCTTAGAAGAGGTGACTCGAGGCACAGCGGTGGGCCGTGGGGCCATTCCTGGCGGTGACTGGGAGGCAGGTGGGGTGGGCAGAAAAGGAGCACTCAGTGGCCTGAAACACGCTTGCCCTGGCGCACCCGACGGCCACCCCCGGGCCCTGCACCTTCCTGCTTCGGCTCTGCTCTGTCCCCGCGGTGGCCACACCTACTGACCCTTTCATGAAAGAATACAGACAGGCTCACCGCCCAGCCTGGCGAGGAGAGCCGGAGCTTGCCCCCGGCGGCAGCCTGGTCTACGGCGACTCAGCAGGGGTGGCCTCGGCCCACCCCGCACAGCCACCCGCTGGCCCACGGGCCGCCTCGCCTCTCCAGGCTGCCTCCAGCCCCGTCCCGCGAGGCTCCGCTCCGCAGCCAGCGAGGAGGCCGCCACACTCCTCTGTTTCCGTCTGCTGGACAATCTGTTCCATAATTGCTTGTTTTCAAATAGCTCAGCAGGTCCCTGGGGCTCCACATGGCTTTGGGCGGGGGCAGTGGAGCTCTTCCCGCTGGCTGTGGGCGCAGCTCCACGCTGCCTCCCTGGCGAGCCCGGGAGGATCCTCGCTCGGAGCAAGTCGGGGCCAGACTCAGGGCTTCCTCTGTCAGATCCCGCGGGCTGCAGTGCGCCCAGGGGCTCCATGCGTCTTCAGAAGGCGGCGCAGGCGCCGTGAGGCCAGAGGTGCTTCGCCCTGAACGCGGCCTTAATTAGTTGCTCCTCCTGTTCAGACGAGGAAATGAAGGCCGAGGAAAGTGGCGCGAAACGGCGCCGGCCCTCTGGGCCGTGGGGGCAGACGCGCCGAGCGCTCACGTGTCTCCCGCCCTGCGCCGCAGGGCTGCGAGAAGGC